CCAGGAGGACACACCCTCCGATCACCGAACTGATACACCTTTGACTCCTCAGCCCTCCGCCGATCAACCGGAGAGAAAACACAAAGATGGAGAGAAGTGGAGGAAGCTTCCATTGGAGAAACAGAAGAGAATCTACGAGAACACTGTAAGTATTCACGCAGAACATGGGATACAACAGGACTAACACCGCACAGCTTTTCCCGCATATCAAGCCCGTGGTGGATCAATACAAACACAAGATCCCTGACCATCACCTGAAACGGTTTGCCAAGGAGGTAAGATCATAGACTCTTTGGATTCCCTTTCTGCTGATATATAATTATACTGACATTCCCCCTTAATAGACTTCAAAGAAGCTCGTTGAAAGCGATTACAAAAACAATCGCGTCAAGGATCCCACCGCGAAGATCTCAACGAAGCACCAGCAAACCATCAAAAATTACTGCAAGACGTTCTTCCGCAAGGCCGCAGCCAAATACGTGGATCGTGAGAAGCTCGAGGGTGAGAAATCGCAGGAAGCCACTCCAAACGCTGGGAACGAGATCCCTAGCACAGGCGACGATGAAGCTCGCGCGGGTGCACCTGCGAGTTCTCCCCTGGAAGACGATGACGCCGCGTCCCTCAAACGCAAGCGAAACGGAACCCTAAATGTTGACGGTGCTGAAGACGGGGCCAGCTCTCCCTCCAAACGACAGAAATCCACACCTCCTCCGCCTCCTCCTCCGCCCCCTCCAACGGACCGTCCTGAAGACGACGCCGACGGTGACACCAGCATGGGAAACACTGGAGACAACTCTTCACCTCCGAAAGGAGACTCCAGCGCTGGCGTCGACGGCATGGAGGTAGAAACGGAGAATGAACCACGAACGGAGCAACCTCAGATCAGTATCGAGGGACGGGTGTAGGCAACTCCAGCGGTTCTTGTCTTATTTGTGCTTGTGCATCAATACCCAAAAGCGAGTAAAAAAGCGAGAGATTCAGAAGACGGAGGGATTGAAACTGATATCTCAACAATCTGCATTACTTTTGATTCTAACGTGTTCTTTTTGTGCTATTTTTATCTTTTTTTTTGCTTTCTATGCTGTCGTCAATACCCCCGGGCCCAAGTGCCACTATCATAGTTTGCTTCAATTCAGCCTGTCTTGAGCTGTAAGCTTCATATGCTTTTCTGGAGATTTATAGCATACATATGAAATATCTACTATATAAGAACTCAAAAGACCATCTCGATGATCGACATTGTCAAGTGTCAACATCTATATCTCGATTAATCCTTAAAAAAAAAATAATCTTTGATACTACACATTCCATCCATCATGCATATTTCATTCGAGTATATGCAAGCACAGGCATTACAGACTCCCAAAGAAAAACCCATCAGACCGAACAGAGCAGAGAACACAGAAGCCGAACAGGCCAAGGAAAAAAAAAAGGTGAAGTACCAGTACTCTCAAATCAAAAAATCATTCCAGCGTGAAAATAAGAACAGGACCATGTACCGTAAAGAGACCAGAAGTGAAATCTATAAAAGATGACAACATCTAGTAGAAACTCTCCACAATACTATCCTTATTAACACCGGCACCACCGGCACCACCGGGAGCCATTTCGCCAAGTCTGAACACAGACTCGACAACGCTCAGCTCGGTGGCTGTGGTGTCGAGACCGGTGATGGCGAGCCAGTCGTTGACGACCATGCCGGCACCGACGACGGGTGAGCCGCGGTTCACACTGCCTGCAACGAGGGGAACTTGGAGGAGGGAGGACAGCTCGTCCTGGTCGCGGATTGAGGTCTTGGGGTGCACGATTCCACCTTGGTTGGAGAGGGCCATGTAGGAGCCTGTGAGAACATTGTCGGCAACTGTTTGACGGAAGACTTCTACGCCAAGGACGTCGGCGATGCTAGGAAAGATATATGTTAGTTTCGGGGGAAAAATCCAAGGAAGAAAGTTTGGGATGGAATGGAATGGTGAGGTTGGGTGTTCAGAGCGTTGTAAACGCTGGATTGGTACTCACATCTCCTCGGTCTCACGCTCCAGATCAGGGTGCACGATTGCAACGTGATCATTGCAGCAAATAACATTGCCAAGCGCGGAGAGGCGCTCTTCTATGCGTTGGATTTTGACTTCGGCCGGGAGCGTGTTGCGCAGGTGTTGCAATTCTTGATCTGTGGTGGTTGTGGGGACAAGGAGACCTTTGCGGTTACTAAGGGCGAGATATTAGCATTTGCGTTTTCTTGTATGTTTCCTTGGCGGAAAAAGCTGTTCGTTTTGAACTGGGTATGTTTCGACTCACCCGACGATCAGACGACCGACAATGCGGGTTCCGGCGATGGTTGCGTGGCAGATGGGGATGACATCTTGGAGTTCGGATTCGAAGACACTGGATTTGAGTGTTAGTTGGGGTTGTTCATGGGTGTATTGGGGTAGGGAAGAGATTGAGATTTGAGACAGCACGGTATTGGTGGCGGCATGCCTCAGCGCCCACCACCATTCCTATCAATGCCAGCCCCAAGTCCCAACCCTACCCCTCTGGATCACACACCTGTAGAAGTTCTCGGAAGCACCAACAGCAACGATAGCGTAGGCATTTGTCAGGCAAGAGAAAACGCCGACCCTAAATAGAAACCGTCAGCCCGAGTTCCAAACATTCTGGGACATTCTCAGGTATCTTACTCGTTCGAGTTCTCGAATTGCGCGCGAACAGCCATGATGATCTGAGTATCAGGAAGATGTGCAGAGAGCAGAGTGGGAAAAAGTGTGCGGTGTGGAGCGGGGTAGCGAAGAGCGCGGAGCTAGCAGATGCAAGATCAACAGAAACAGAATCTGTCGAGTTTTATGAAATCAAGTATTCTGAGATTTGCAGAATGAAGCCGAAAGATAAATAAATTGGCAGAGACGTGCGATCCAACTGAAAAAAGAACAAAAGCTCGGGCCAATCAGAGTGTCGCTTGAGTTGGCCCCGCCGGAGCCGCAGAGGCGAGGTTGGTGGGCTGGTGGAATGTACTGGTACTTGTTTTATTATGGTATACAGTATAGTAAGCTATGTACTGATACCTCGTTTCTACTGACTCATTCTGTCTCATGCTGACGATGATTCATTCTACTTCATGCATTCTACTCCATTTCTAGTATATTATTTATTATTGATCACTAACTAGTCATAGTTATACACAGCTACAAAACCAGAATATAGGGCTTGGCTAGAATATGGCTGGTGCGTACCATGTCAACCCCAGTCATACTGAATCCATACCTCTATACTTCGCTTTCATATATGAATACTATAGATGCCTCTCATATCTATATATGGAATTATTTACGCCACTCTCACTGAAAAATGGACCTTGCCATAGCCCAGGTAATAACATAGAGCAAGATGTTGAAATGAAAATCAATGCACATCAAAACTACGTATTAGAGCTAAATATTGAAAGGTACCGCGCATGCGCGACATGAGATAAAGAATTAAGCTACATATTAGAAGATCCCTGATACCAGCCTCTAGTGGTGTGCAGTCTATATGTATACCATATATAAATTGGAATCAAAACAGCGGAAGTGAATCAAGTTGAACAGCTCAAATGATGTATCCACCTATTTAACAGCAGTCTTCTTCCTCAAGATGAACGTTCCACCATGTATCTCGTATTCAAGGCTTGTCAGCAGGTGACAGGGATGTATGACATTCAAACGGTCGACAGCTTGTTGTTTGAGCAGGTCCTGGGACGGTGCGATTCCCATTCAGGGGACTGCTGAGAACTTCCTCCTCCCGCTAGAAGGTCACACAATAGGAGATGGATTCACTGTGCCATCTGCCCAGAAACCGTGTTCGCTGGGGTTCTCGGCTACAGCAATCTTATCATGTGTCAATGCCTGCTTTGTCGCATATTTTCGCACAGCATCTCGGACCCGTTTATGCTGTGTGAAGATTGGAAGAGAGTCGATTCCCTTGTTGCAGATGTGAGTCGCAACTCGGTCAAACTGTGCTACTTCATCATCGCGATGAAATAAGCATATTCTATGGACTCCGCCTGATTGATCGCTTTTTTCGAGTCGTGTTGATCCGTGGTGTTATCCCTAATGAACGTCTGGTGTCGCCAATGACGTATTTCTGTTTCAATGGCAGAAACTCCCCTTTGACTTGTGGGACGTGGGTTCAGTCGAATAGAGTGGGGGAGTTCATCCTCGAAATCTTTGGTGGATCGGCTTTGTCTCGGGGTTGATTGGATTGTGTTTATATAGAGCTGCAAAGTGGTAAAAGATGACGAGCATACTGAGGTATGCACTCTGAAGACTTTCACAAGCAGCCTCTAGAAGGAGACATCCAATGAGGATGATTCTAAGTCATCTTGAGGCTTGAGGCCGCTGGTTTCTGCCCGTTGTCCGAGGAAATTGATAGCCAGCTGCGCTGGAGTGTCAGTTATGACAGCGCAGCTGTCTCCCCGATTTAAGAGGGGAGATGGTTGAAAGAAGTGAAAGAGGTGAGAAGAGATGGAAGGTGAGGATGATATGTGGCACGGTAGAGGTTTCCCTCGTCGACGTTCTGACATGCGGTGCCTTCGCTCACATCGAGCACTTTCGAATGGAAAGAACGTTCGAAGATTGCTTCTGGCATCTCTCTTATTGGGGCTTCTCTCGCATAACTATATATTAGTTTGTCTATTGCTCACATGCCGTTTACTTGCTATTTACTTGTAATTTCAATTTGAATTCTTCATGCAGCCACCTTTATCAAGGAGCAAGAGGCGGTCACTTGTGTCAATTTGAATTGAATCTTGTTTGTTTTGATATCCACATGTCTTATCACTTACTACCACTCCATCTTATAGTCCACTTGACTACAGAAATCATTCAAACAAGAAAAAATCTATTCATTTTGATGCCCTCCCCCCCATCCCCACTCAGGGGGGAGGGCATCGGAACTAAACGTACAAAAAAGAATTGGTATCAACTGCGGGGAACGCTACACAAACATTTTGGTACAAGCCGGCGGGTCTACTAGTACCCGCGCGGCGGGGGCGGGGGGTGCGATCCGGGCGGCGGGAAGTACAGGGAGGGCGCGTGGCCCTGGGGCATGTAGCCCGGCAGGGGCAGACGCGCAAAGTTCGAGCCCGGGGGAGGGGGCAGCTGCGGCGGCCCGTTCATTGCGAACGGGTCCGGCAGGCCCATCCCCAACCCCAGCTGCTGGCGCGCAGGGAGAAGACGCCGCGGCTGCTGGGTTGGGGTGGGCCGGGGGAGAATGAAGGACCGCGGGTCCGTTGGCCCGTGGCCGTGGAGGGAGGAGGGAGGGGGCCCTGGGTGGGCGTGGGTAGGCTGAGGGAGGAGAGCACGGTGGTGAGTACCAGGGTCGGTGCGCATCATTGGAAGATGTTGGAGGGGCTCGGTCAGAGCCGCATCTGCCAGAATAGAAAGTGCTCGTGGGTGCACTGGGAAATCTGCGGCGCCATCGTAGCTAACAACCTTGCCGGCCGCCTCTTGCTCCTTGATAAAGGTGGCTGCATGAAGCATGCTGCCAAAGGCATCCTTGGCGCAGGTTCGCAGAGCATCTTCATCGGTGATTTCTGTTGGTGCGATCTCCTCGTTCAAGCGGCCCAGCCGTACTCTCTGGACAAATTCCTCCCATCCCTCCTCTGCTGCCACAAAGTCAACTGCCCCCTCCGGGTCACGAACTGCTTCGGCTGCAAATCCACGCTCTACCTGCCGTACTGCCGTCTCGCCATCTCGGAAAAGGAATTGCTTCACGGATTGTTCCGAATCCGATGTATCGTACTGGAGACTGATTAGTCGTGTAATCGTTTTGGAAGTCTTCAGGGTACTAACCTCAGTGTGTTCATCATCCTCGGCCACCCTGCGGCCCTGGATCAGGGCCATCATCTTGCCCATGAGCATTGTAAGCATTTCCTCTTGAACTTGCTCGATGAGTAACTATTTCCACATGTTAGAATACTTCAATGATAAGACAAATTAGATCCAAACTTACACTTGAGGTGTTTTTGATAATGTGAACATTGCCCTCATACTTCCGCGTCTCCAGCTCAGTGTTCACCTTGTACTCGTTGCTCACTCTCTTAATTGCCTTGTGTTCGTATCTATCCAGATCCCGCTGGACTTGATCGAATTCAGGACATTCTTTGTGAACATTTTTCTCGCGAGCAAGCTTATTCATGTTCTGCTCGGCCATGAAACTCAGCGCAATATGTTGCGCCTGTCCAACCTTCTTGAACAGCGCAGACATTTCCTCCTGGCGAGTCTTTGTTGGCATAGATTCCGGGGTAGGGGATGGAGTCGGACCACGCCAATTTTCGGCGACATCCCAAATCTCGTCTTCGATTTTCTTGCCGCGTTTAATAATGGCGGCCTTGCCACGGCCACGCCCTCGACCGCCTCGAGTCTTGGTAACTGCTGCAGGTCGAATTGGGCCGACGAAGCCACCGCGGCTTCCGCGACCACGGCCGCGGCCACGTCCTCGACCGCGGCCGCCACGGGCTCCTCGACCTCCACGGCCTCCTCGAACGGTAGGGTTGTAAGCAGGGGGGTCGAATTCTTCCGAAGGAATAGGAATGTCCTCGGGAGATGTGTCATGTTGAGTATCAAGCTCCATGCCATTTTGTAAGTTGCTCTCTGGAGTCTCTTCGAGTTCCGTCTCGTCAGTTCGCAGCTTTTTGTTCATAATATCCTCGGAATCAATATCCGGGATTTCATTTTGCAATTCAAGTGACTTTCGCTTGCGCGCAAGTCGGGGTGAAGACACCGCACTGAATAGCGCTTGTTCAACCTGTGAGATCTTGGGACTTTGCCCGACGGGAGTTTCCTCGGCCTTTGCTTTGGCTGGGTCAGAGATATCGTTCGTGTTATTGTTCATTTCATCGACCATGGCATCAGGGTCGATTTGGGTAGCTCCAGGCGACACGGGAGCTGAAGCAACCATGCGAGGTTCAGGAGATTGAGATGTTTTTTGAAAGGGAGGTTCGGACTCGAATTCCTCATCGTAGTGGTGAGAGTCCATGTCATCATCTGGCTCGGTGATTTGATTATCAACGACCTTAGTTGGCGAGACATCCTCTTCATAGATTCCATCCCCATCAGGCTTCAGTCTTGCTGACTGTCGGGTGGTCCGCGAAGACTCAGGAACAGTCCGTGGATGCCGAGGACGCCGAGTGCGAGGAGTCTCTGGATTCTGTGAGACCGCACTGGCGTTTGCGCTTTCATTTTCCTCATGGGGATCATCCGAATCAGCATGTTGAATTAGTTTGAGTGAAGGAATTTTAAATTTGATGATACGCGAGAGAACTTCTGGTCCACTCGGTGATTCAGAAGGAAGACGACCAGGGAGACTGGCGCGGCCACGACCGCGACCACGTCCTCGGCCTCGACCTCTTCCACGAGTAGTGGGAATTGCAATGGTATCTATACATAAGGTCAGAGATTGGACCAATACCGCAAACCTGTCTGAACTTACCTTGTGCAGTTCGCCCAGATCGCGTAGAAATACTAGGAGTCCGGGCAACAGGCTGTGCAGCCGCGCGATTTTTCTTTCTTCCCACCATCGCTGTTGTCTCGAAGAAAATCAGTTTTTGGACGGGGAAAATCCAGCAGCAAGGGGCGGAAAATCAGGGAGGGAAATGTGAATAGATCGAAGAAGACATCAAAATTTTAAGCACGGTTCAAGAACCTGTACAGTTTCAAAGGGGGAGAATGGTAGTAGAAAAAGGAAAAAAAGTACACGCGAAATCGCCAAATGCAGAAAGGAAACGTCACTGTTGGTAGCAGTGGAAGAAAAGCTTGGCAGGGAAAAGCGCGAAGTAGACATAAAACACGCGATCAAAGTTCAAAAGATCAGAAGATCAGAAGATCTCTAAAGATCAAAAAGATCTCAAAGATCCCAAAGGTTCAGTCTCAAAGGTTCCCTCAGAGCCAAGATCAAGGGGACAGGGTTTTAGGGAAAACAAGGGGAATTGCAAGGGGGAGATGAGGGTAACCGCCTCAAAAGATTCACTTACCAAAGCGATGGATATGGGAAAAAGATGCGAAGTAAAAAGAAAAGAGCAGAGATCTACTGCAGGATTTGACCGGGTGGATGGGGAAACGGGGCCAAGTAAAAAAAACGGGGGGGGGGGGGAGAGAGAACAGGGTGAAATAGCAGAGCAGGTGTAGAAGTCAAAAAGAACACGAGAATATGAAAATGATTAAGAAACTTGAAAGTAGAAAAGTAGAAAAGAGTCGAAAAGTAGAGTAGATGGAGAGAGGAAGAAAAAGAGAGTCGAGGTAGAAGAAAAGAAGAAAGGGAAAAGGCCAAAACAAGTTGATTATGGGAGAGCTGAACCTTGGATTATTCTTCCCATACAATAGAACGGTCTATAAAAACATCTATGACAATCTAATCACTTTCAACTGCTCTTATTCAAATCCATTCTACATTGTTCTTTTCCCCTTGGTCTGTCTATTCAGATCGACTTTTCCGCTCGGCGGAGGCTCGGCGATTGAGCCACAATAGCACATTATACATTCAACCTTGAACCCATTCATTTACCTCTATAACTTCGGTTTGGGAACAAGCGTATGCTACTCTCATGTACCCCATATGTGTATCTCCGATCCCCAGCCACTTCCGGCACACAAGTACCGGAGTATTTGGTTTGGTATTCGGCCCTATTTGGAGGATTAGTCTACGCGTCTGGTTGCTTAGAGCTGACTTTTCGTTACCTTGTGAATACATGTATTCATATTCCCTATTCTATTCTATTCTCTATTCTATTCTCTATACTATCTATACTATCTATACTATCCTCTCTACAGGGAAAAAAATAGACGGACCCACTTAGTCTAGGGGTGACAACGCATGCGGACTTGCACTGTACAGGACTACAATCAATGCTATTGGCTAACAATCTAACTATTAGCATTTCCAGGAATCTACTACAGCGTATGTAGAGTGGTAATAGTTTCGATATTTTCATTAGAAATTGGTCATCCCTAGCAAGGACAGTCGTATATATTGCACTTATTGCCACACAGACCTATCTAGTCCCTAGTTAGTTCCGTATGCCGTATAGAAAAGTCATTTGTATGGTTTACACGTTTTGCATTTTTCTACCATCTAGTATAAAACCAAGACGGAAATATAGAATAAAAAGAGGAAAGGGACTTCCAGGTATCATCTAATACAAAGATGCAATAATAAAATACAGATGGTAATTGAACATTATTACACAACTCCAATATATATCTTCACCCATTCAATATATGTAACCTCAATCCATTTAAACAATTATACCACCCATTCCCTATTTACACAGATAATATGTATATCCAAAAATCCACCCGTCATGTACAAAAAAAGCAAAAAGCCAGATAAAAAAAAAAAAAAAACATTGCAAGTCATGCAGATCACGATGTACCAAAAGGTAGATCAATCACTTTTCATAAGGGGATTCATTCAAGTCATATCTCTGCTCCGACTCTGGCAGAGGGGAAGGAGTACGCATCGCCTGGTCACGGAGGGAGCGGGCAGATCTCATGCGCGTGATCGTGCCCGCTGTGAGGGTCTGCCCCGCGCTCGGCGAGGCTTTAACCATTGTCCCAGGGGTAAAAGTTGGGGATGGGCAAGGACTTGTTGATCGGAAGAGAGGGTGGATGTTGTCTTCGCCAAACGGGTTGTATTCCCACGTTGAGCTGTTGGAGCCGGACTGTGTTGGGGAGTCAACGCGGATTGTTGATGCTGCGGGTGAGGGCATTGATGGGTGTACTAGATTGTCTAAGGAGGGTGCGGTTAGCGGGTTGTGGCGCAGGCTGGGCATGCTACGGATGCTGTGGGTACCTTGGAAGGGGCGAGTGTCCCGGTCTGGGAAGGTGTCTGGCCTTCTATCCTGTGTTGGGGATGGGCACGGTGAGCTGTGGGTCGAGGACGTTGTGTCGATGGAGGCGTTCTTTCCGTCCTTTGTGCTTGAAGGACAGAGTGTTGCGTCTGAGTAGCGGCTAGACCGCCGAGGGAATTTGCGGAGTGAGGATCTTTTAGGCTCGAATATATCGGATAAGTCGCATACTCGAGGGGGCGATGGGAGAAAATTTGGGGTTTGCGGGATATCCTTGAGCTCCTGGGAGTAGGCACGTGGCCATTCACGATTGAATCTATCCTGGGCTAGTGTCGTGGCAAAAATTCCGCAGTACAGGCCTTGTGTGAAAACTGATAGTGCCCAGAACACAGAGCGAATCACAAAGACCGATGTTTGAGGACTCTTTGCTATTGTTCCGGCAGATGCTGCAGCGGCAACGAGTAGATATCCACCGGCGAAATAGATCAATTGTCGGCGGCCGGTTTGTATATTTTGGTGGTGCAGCAGACCGAGGGACATCAAAATCACGAAGCTCACTGCACTTAGGATAGTTGAGGCCACATCAGGCGAGGCTTTCGAGGTTGCGTAGCAGATACCATTAGAAATGGTGACAATGAATGTTGTGAGCAAGGAGGCTGCCGCCAGTGAATAAGATAGGCGAGACATGGCAATGGAAAAGAGAGAAAGACTTGACAAACGAATGGCCTGGAAGTTTATCAAAAGAGAGTAAGAGAGTAAGAGAGAGTGTGTGTGGATGTCAAATGTTGGCAGACTGCCAATCCACGACGTTTATCCAACGCACGCAATGAATGTGAAGAAATCTGCCGACTTCATGAGAGGAAAGATGTCCGTATTTATGAGTTGGGCATGCATAGAGGCAGAGCCCTGGAGGGTTGCAACACGGGACGGGCGATGCGGATCTCAGCGTGGCTTAAAAGTATATCGGGTTGCCTCAACCTGTCGATTTTTCGCAGGAGATCGGCCTGATCCATCATTCCAGCATGATGGTTAGAGTCCGTAGATAAGAATCGACTTGACAAGGATCATGTCAATTGGCTGAGACAGAGAGATCCCGCTGGAGATGCATAGTGTGTGGATATTGGCAATTGTCGTATTTCCAGCCATCGAGGCGAAGCCATGGGGCCTAATTCCGGGGTAGGACACTGCCAGTCCAGACCCGTTATGCAGAGTAGAAACCTTGCAATCCGATAATTTGGTGAACTTCACTAAGAATGGCGCTATTTATCTGATCCATCAGTCTGGTTGTGGCGGATCTCGTCTCGACCCCAATAGTGCGGACCGGATGTGATATATCTCTCCCCCTTGCAAGGGAAAATCTCCCGCTGAATCTCGGCTAGACCAGAGCTAAGTACAGTGTAAGTTCAGAAAAATTCAAAATTGTACTTTGTGCTTTGTACTTTTTACTTTGTAGATTTTATAGATCCATATTCTATACCAAGTAGACGGGATATCATGACCTGTCGTGCAGGAAGTATGGAGTATATAGTTTGGATTGTCTACCTGTGATTCGGTCAATTCCTTCAATGTTGCGTGAAGACATCTGGCGTATGCAATTGACATAATTTGTCAATTTTAATTAATAGATGGTGTATTTTGTGGATCTCACATATGCATCTTCTCGTGTGGGTACAATAGGTGCAATGTAGAACGTCCGTGCTACTTACTTGAGAGGCAATAGTGGCGCTTACTGTGCTATATAGGAGTTCAAAGTGCCGAAAATTCTTTCTCGAATGGCAGTACCATTGAGGACCCAAGTTGGACACAGATCTGCAACTCCGACCTATTCTCGATGTCTGCCTGAGATGTTGTCATCGAGGCGCCAACAGGCAACCAGCTTAGAATCAAATCGGATTGACAGACCTGAATCTTTTTAAGAGGATATGTGCACCGTATAGAGGGTGAACTGTGCACATAAAGAACAATAATAGCCTAATATCAAAATCTTTGAAGTTGCAAGTTGCCCTAGGAAGTTGTTCGTCTGGTAGAGAAGTAGTGGCGGTAAATCCGAAGGCGGTCACCGTACTGGTTTGCTATCGTCGTCACTTTGAATGCTCCCCTCCTACTTTCTTTTCATTCTCTTCGACTTTTCTTCGACTTTATCGCTGAGAGGATCCTTTGCATCAACTACTCTCCCCTATCTCCTATCTCAATTCGCCATATATTCTCCCTGCCTTTTTTTCCCCCTCTGGTTTTACTCAAAAGCGGCAAAATGAAGCTCACTTTCAAGGTATGAAAACTTGCCTACGGGGTCCTCACAACCACAGACCGCTGACAATCATCGATCACAGGACTTGAAGCAGGAGAAGTTTGTCATCGATGTCGAACCTTCTGAGACTGTACGTTTGTTCCCTTTGCTATAAGTAGGCGGCGTCATCGAGTGCGGGGCTCATCTGTTTAGGTTCGCGAGGTCAAGGTCAAAATCGCCCAAGAGAAAGGCGAATATGAGGCAGAGCGCATGAAGGTCATCTACTCTGGTTCGTATTTCCCCCCTGATAGGCGAATCTCCATCCACGGCGCTGTGGCTAACCATCGATTTTTTTCTCTTTGTAGGAAAGATCCTTCAGGATGACAAGACAGTCGAATCTTACAACATCCAAGAGAAGGATTTCCTGGTGTGCTTGCCATCAAAGGTATAGGATAAACCTGGTCTATGAGTTCCGACGACCGAGCCAAAACTAATGGATTGATACTCAGCAACCCAAGGCCGCCGCCTCTACCGCTTCCTCACAAGTTCCCTCGACCCCAGCTGCCCGAGCTCCTGTGTCAACACCCGCTGCTCCCCCGGCTCCTCATGCTGCGTCTGCGCCTCCCCCGTCTGCCGTCCCCGCAACCCCCTCCCCGGCCGGTGCGGCTCCAGCTCCATCGAGCGGTCCCGCCTTCGGAGATCCTTCCGCTCTCACCATGGGATCTGCTGCTGAGGGAGCAGTTGTCCAGATGGAGGCAATGGGATTCGCACGCACTGATATCGACCGTGCCATGCGCGCTGCATTCTACAACCCTGACCGTGCCATCGAATACCTTCTGACCGTAAGCTTTTGTTGGAGGTTTCACCTTGAATCTTTGCTAACAATCACGATAGGGTATCCCCGATAACATCCAGGAACAGCAGCAACAACAACAACAGCGACAAGCCTCAGAGACAGCCCCTACTGGTGCTGCTCCTGCTGCTCCCGCTGCTCCTTCCGGAGGGGATGAGCCCCACCTGAACCTCTTCGAAGCTGCCGCTCAAGCCGGTGGTGACGGTGGTGGCCGATCTCGCGGTGCTGCTGGTGCCGGCGCCGATGCCGGTGCCGCTGGTGGTGAAGCTCTCGGCAGCCTGGAGTTCCTCCGCAGCAACCCCCATTTCCAACAGCTTCGTCAGCTTGTTCAACAGCAACCTCATATGCTCGAGCCCATCCTGCAACAGGTCGCCGCTGGGAACCCCCAGATTGCATCAATCATTGGACAGAACTCCGATCAATTCCTGCAGCTTCTGGGTGAGGAACTCGAGGACGAGGAGGGTGCTCTCCCACCCGGCGCACAGGCTATCTCGGTTACGGAAGAAGAGCGCGATGCGATTGAGCGTGTATGTTGAAATCTCCCTTCTCTCTCATGATTTCATAACTAACCCACTACCAGCTGTGCACTCTGGGCTTCCCCCGCGATTCCGTCATCCAGGCTTACTTCGCCTGCGACAAGAACGAGGACCTCGCCGCCAACTTCCTCTTCGATCAACCCGATGATGATGAGCAGTAAAGAATCCAATGTTCTCTCTCAACTTCTTTTCTTCCTCCCCTACTTCTCCCCCTTTAACGTTATGTTCTATGATGAATACCAAGCATGCTGCTGTTTGAATTGATTCCCATCTCTCCTCCCCCTGGATCCCTTCCTATGAATACAAATTAGTGCTCAGCTTGGCGTATCTGAGTTTCTGCTTGCTGAGTATGCACTTGGCTTCTTTCCATCCCAGATTTCCCTCTCTCCCATTACGCCTGTTATGTATCTACCTTGATGGGCAAAATAGGACCTGTTCGCTTACATATAGAGTATCTAAGTACGGAGTAGTTGTGTAAGACTGTAGGGATAAGTGGCGAACTTGGATCTGGTCATATGGAATGATGTGGTTTTCATTGGTGGTCACGCGCATTTTATATGCAGGTAGACATGTGCAGATGACCTGCGAATGGTTGGAATGTATATATCTGCATGGTTGGAGAAGTCTATATCTTCCACTTGGGACTTGTGCCCGCAAGGCCCAACTCGTCAGAGTAATATATCCTCACACAGCATTTCCAAATTGTACGTCGTACCCAGGTTAGCCCTTATCGCTCCTTATCGGAAATCATTTTAATGGCCTTTGGGGTGTCTTTTGAGATGTCTTTTCATACAAGTTTGTTATGGCTTTTCCCCCTATGATAGTTCATACCAGCTGCCCAGCCTACACAGGAAAGAAATATTCAATAGATAAATTGAACTACTTACATATGGGTAGAGTGTAAGTACAAACAGACTAGAACCCAAAGATACCCACTCGACGCCCATCCCCAATGCAAAAGGTATCTTATGGACATGGTAACCCTAAAATGCACCGAAAATATCCAGGAAAAAAAAAAAAAGAAGAGAGATTACAGTCCATATTCAAGTGAGAACATAGTTCCCGAATACCGAAGATGAACAAAGCACAACGTCCCATCCATGAAAATTGTACATTCATGAACATGCAAAAGCAGAAGTGTATTATTTGCAAGATCTCCGCACAGACCAAACACCCAGCCCACGACGCCCAACGACCCGTTTCAGAGTCGGCAGGATCCCATCTTCGCCAAAGTCCATGTCATCAAGGTTGAGGTGTTTGCGGTACGACCAAAGTGGATAAAGCTGCAAGCTCAGCTCTCGGCTCTGACGAGCAGACACGGCGTATGGATCCAAGAAAGTGGCCGAAGTAGGCGCGACTAGGAATACAGACGATGGGTTGGAGCAGCTAGGTACAACCTCCTCCAGCTGAAGCATCATCTCCACACCTGACATCCCCATGAGATCCATTGTCTGGATCTCCGTGGACTGGTTGTCCCCACCGAGAAGCCACAGCGGCGGTGAGTATGTCTTCCACCAGAACACCGTTGCGGAAGGTATGTGATGTATAGTGCTGGATGAGACGATGTCGCGCATTGCTAACTGTGTGGGGACAACGCCACCTTGGTGGTACACGCCCATGAGGAAACCCATGGCTGCGTTGAAGATGACCCACACGACGAGGAGGAGGCGGGAGCGGAGCATGGGGACACAGCTGAGGAGGAGGGGCACAGCTGGCAGGAGGAAGCGTGGTTCCTGGTGCGGGAAGACAGAGAGGAGCATCGTTGCGGAGAGCGCGGAGAGGGCGCGCACATTGCGCATCCAGTATGGTACCACCAGTGGCCAGTTAAAGAAGGAGGCTAGCATTGCTATGTAGGCTGGGCCGAGGAGTTGGAAGAGGTTTGCGGTGAAGTGTTGGTGATGGGGGTGGAGGCCGTGCTGGGCGAGGTTGGAAGTGTCTGTGTTGTAGAGCAGGTTGTTGAGGGGGGTAATTATGGGGTCGCGGAAAGTGCTGAGGGGGGATGCTGTCGGCCGGTAGAAGGCTGTATCTGTGTAGACTGCGACGAAGGAAAAGAGGATGCCGAAGAGAAGGAATGCTGCGAGCGAGAGTGGTCTGGTGCGGATGCGGGGTTAGCATATGTGTATTGGTCGATGAGGTTGAGGTGAAGTGTATATAGATTGACATACTTGCGAATGAACTGAGGCAGCAATTGTAGGCCAGGGAATATGAGGAAAGCCGGGAAGGTGATGCGGTTGAACACACCCAGCACGGCGATGAAGGCGAGCAGGGCGTTGGAGAAGAAGGACGTATGTCGCTGGGAGTTAAGTTAGTGTGGATTGTGTAATTCCAAGCTTTCTCCCTCACCTTATTGTCGACAATGCGCCGAATCAGAACCAGTCCCCAGGCAACCGACAGGGTCTCGAGGCTGTTGGAGAATGTGTGCGTCTGATATGTCCAGGTGACATACGACGAGGCCACCAGCACCACCATCGCGCGCCGATGACGCGGGGAAGGCACTAGTTCATAGATCGCCCAGTCCTCCAGTACAAAACTCAACAGGAACATTCCACCGCGCAGTGCATAGTAAACCAAGTGGGGTGGGGGGTTGCCCGAGCCAGTCTCGGTATAGAACCATTTCAAGAGGCTCATTGGAAGCTCGTAGATTACCCATAGTGGGAATATGCTGCGGATGGGATGTTCAACGGTGAACTCCCATGGTAACTTTGAAGGAAATGAGAATGTGCGACCTGCATTTTGGTGATCTGGTCAATATTGTTTTCCCCTCGTATAGGGGAGTCGCGGGACTGCCGGATCGCGCTTTTGTATTTTTCTTTTGGGGAAATAGCAACAAATATTTCCACGCGTTTGCGCAGTCGTGGTATGATCGCGACTTATCAGACGATAATTGGACAGTTAAACACACCTGCAAAAAGCTCTGGGCCTTGGAAATTCTCATCAGGATGTAGATAGCTCGGCGAGAGCGCGAAGTACACGCGAATCACCAGTAACAGCAAATATGTTCGTCGCCACATGATTGAGCCAGGGACATTATTAGAAATAGAACGAATGTAAACAAAAAGGAGAAAAGGAGTGGAGGGAGCTAAGAGAAAGGTAAAGCAAACGCGTATTAGGCGATGATATCACTCGCGTTAAGCGGTAAATTGGAGCGGTGGGGATTATGCGAGAAATTCAGATCTACAGAGTATTGGGATATGATATTTTAGCATATCTTAAGTATGTACTTATACATCAAAATCTTTGTCAATGTGATTGATATATAACATACCTGTTGGTTCGTATAGATCTCGCATGCACAGTATACCAATGTACTAAGGTACGTAGTAGGAGTAACCCTAAGACACTATACAGCATAATTGATAGATCGATAATCTTCGAACGAATGGTATAACCCAGAACATAGTTTACCTAAAATGGCCTAGTTGCAGTTAAACACATCCAATTTGTTTTAGCCACCCCGGTAGAACTCAATAGATTTGAATAGATTTGGCCGCCGTTGGTTCTGGCTTAGCACGGAGTTCAAGCCAGGGGCTCCGACTGTTAGTCTTGAAGCTAATAGGGTACTAGTATGTTTCTGGACAGTCTCTGAGTTGAAGCGAACAATGAGTCAAAGAAAATATGTATATTTTAGGCAACTGTAGGAACTAAGGCGTGGGGGCTAGTTTGGAGCCTTGTTGGCCTTACTTCATACACCCGAGGACCTACCGCCTTTGATAACCCAGAACCTCTTTAAACCTCACCACCCGCCATCTACTCGTTACATCCTCGTCATCTTCAATTGTCGACATCTATTTTCTTACCAACCCCGAAGACTTGATTACTTGAACCCAATAGATTTACTACACTCTTCTCGCACAGTACCGTCCCCACCACTTAACCACCCCGCACTATCCAAAGTGACCAAGAAAGCTGATTTCACTGAACGTTAGATCCCACCTTGAACGTTATTAACCATGAGCGCCATCACCCTTACCAGCTCCGATGGAGTCGATATCTCTGTTGGTAAGCAGACTTTACACGCATGATACCATCGCGAGTGGCGCTAACAGTTTTTCGAACAGAGCGTACCACCGCTGAGCGCTCCGTCTTGATCAAGAACATGCTTGAGGATCTTGGCGACTCTGGAGAGGCTATCCCTATCCCTAACGTGAGTTTATACCTGGAAACAACCAAAATTCAGAGTTAGAAGCTTACACCTCTTTGTCAGGTTAACGAGGCCGTTCTCAAGAAGGTTATCGAGTGGTGCGAACACCACAAGAACGACCCTCCTAGCGCCAGCGATGACGATGACAACCGTCGTAAGACCACCGATATTGATGAGTGGGATCAGAAGTTCATGCAGGTGGATCAAGAGATGCTCTTCGAGATTATCCTCGTACGTTCCGTTTTCAGACTTGCTCCAGGCGCATATATTGACTACTCCTAGGCTGCCAACTACTTGGATATCAAGGCTCTCCTTGACGTCGGCTGCAAGACCGTCGCCAACATGATCAAGGGCAAGTCCCCAGAGGAGATTCGCAAAACGTTCAACATCCAGAACGACTTCACTCCCGAGGAGGAAGACCAGATCCGCCGTGAGAACGAGTGGGCTGAGGAGTAAGTTGCTACAACGGTATCCTTTGATAGATCATGCTGACATTTCTGTTCTAGCCGTTAAATGATGGGGTTTGTCTGTTGTCCTTCTTAAAACAGAAAATGATATCCTCTCGGCTGTTTACACGATGTGCAGCGTAGCCCTTATGTCTAGTAGGGTGATTACTTTTTGGGGCGTTTATTTTGCTATTTTGCTTCCAAGGTTGTTTGGTATGATATGGAAAAAGTCGCTAGCTTTGCCAATAGCATTCGACACATAATCCTCATGAACCCAGATTAGACAGCGGGGTCGTAAAACCGATCCTTGCTCATATCTCTACTATGACGACAACCGGCAATTTGTAAAAAGAATCACGCACCTAGCATATAAAATGCAGATGGAAGGTGTACTACAAAGGGTGATACGGATAGTAACATCACGATCAGGAACAGACGAAATGTCCCCCATGCAACGCCCCGATCAAAATCTACAGCCAGCAGGGCTATCCCCAAAGTAGGCAAAAGGACATTCAATTCGATTCAATCAGATTTTGTATCAAAAAAGAAAATCCCCCGCCTCGCCAGTCCTACAAGCCCGCCCCCAGCAAGAAGACGATCAGCCCCCAACACCAACAAAACCTTTTGCAAACATAATCCGGGCCTGCCATCCATATCGATAAATTAGGCGTGTTGGAAATCCATCATATCCCCACTCGGAACCGTGGAGAAATGACGACCCATTGGAAGATTAAGAAAAAAAAAGATAGACACAACCCAAAGCAAGACCCCGGATCAAGATTGAATTTTTGAATTTTTGTTTGCAATTGCACTCAAGAGTAGTTCCACATCCACTAGCGCTCTCAAGTTCATGGTGAAGGCATGTTGTTCGAAATTCGGGTGTGGGCGTCACATCATGAAGAGGGTTTCGAAATAATCAAAAACCCTTGAACCACCCCGCACAGACACACTTCGGTTGCCATATGACATCGCGAGCTGAACTGGGGCTTTTTGAGAATGGCCGGACGGAGGGTTGCGAATACTGAGGGTCCGCTTAGACCTTCAGGGTCGACTTACGCCAGTGTCGGCGCTTGGCGTTGTATCTATTATTCAGATTGTAATCAGCCATATGTTCGGTCCGGTTGTGTAATTTCTGTGTATGTTCCTCCATTCGTGGGTTCATGCGGTCGGCGGGTGGATGGTCTTGTGTATTTCCCGTTCCTCTCTCGCGTTTCCGGATCACTCTTCCCACAAATGGCGAACTTGGATATCATGAATTTGAGTCTCGAACGGTGCGATTTACCTGATGGTGTTGCCGGTGCGCAGACGGATCCACTGGGGGATGGGGCGGTTCTGACGCTGAGCTTTGGCAAGCTTTTGCTTGGTGCGGAAGGTCTTGTTGCTCTGTGTGGAAAATGACGGGTTAAAATTTTATTTCTCAATTTTTCAGAGGTCTGACTTGGAGGGGGACGGCGACGATGGCGAATGTATTTTTTTCGAGTATGGCGTGAACAGGGTGGTTAACATACCGGCATCTTGAAGGGTTGATCGCGACGGCGAGCTTGTTGGATGGACGGATGAAGTGGTCGACCTTCGGATGTGGATGGTTTGTGTGCGGCAGGGCTTGGCTTCGCTTCGGTTGGGTCAGGTGATGTGGGACTTTGGCCTGAGGCAGAAACAAATTACGAATGGGGCAAGAATCCGCAAAGTGGGTCGGGCTCTATAGGTGTTGATGTGCTGCACAATTTCATACAACTATACAGTCCGGTATACGATGTGCATTCGAAAGTATCGTGATCCCTCTTTTAGACCAGTGCTTATCCTATGTATCTATCAAGATCATTACAAACAATTGAGGTACCACATAACCGCAATGCCCTATTTTTAGTACTACAAGTATAAGCAAGATAGCCCTAGAGGACTTACTTTGGAAGCTCGTAGGCTATGGATAAAATGTGAAGTAACTAGCAATTCCCATAGGTGTTTTCATAATTCATCATCAGTTAATCTACAGATCTGGAGCAATAGAACGATGATAGCACAGAGACAAGCAGCTTCATAAAGACCTCATTCGGCCAATGCCGCCGTAATCAATCCATATGTGATAGAATCAAGTGATGTTCTTCCTCAGGGAACCGTGGAATAAGAGACAGGATGGCTTCATTGAAGTCAATAAAGAATTGTTGGGCCAATAGCGCAGCACTTTCAAGGCAGAGGGATATGCACCGGAATATACCATACTTTTCCATGCTGGTCCAGGATCAGGTTTTGAGAACTGATGTCAGGATGGGCAATGACAAATTGCTGAATTAGAGCGGTGGAATATCTTTAGGACATTGGTTAACGCGCTTACAGACCTCAAGCTTGTGGTTAAACCAACCCCGAAGTTCCGTAGTAACTTTGAATGGACCGGCGCTATTGTCTGTGAAGAACCAGCCACGGAATGGGCCGCCACCGAGGCGACTAGGCTGCAAATTTACCAGACTGCTCCTTGATCATGTCAGTAACCTGCATAGCAATTTGCTGTTGCTCGTCGCGGGATAGGCTGGTCTAACATTTATCGAGGGGTTAACCTGCGATGAAATCTATCACAATAGATCCCTTTGTGGCGAAACATTGCGTCTTATCTTCGACTTGAAATGAGCGATGGACTCGTGGACCTCGAATGCTAGTTTTAGAGGCAATGCGATTGAGCATGCCGCCGCCTTCCATCACCAAATGCTGCGAGAATCGCTACAGCTTTTGTGTCGCCAAGGTCGTGCGCCACAGGGCCAGACCTAAGAAGGGTTGCCAGAGTCTTGTCCGTGACGAGTCAAGGTCCTTTCCGTTTAGTGGGAAGTCCCCGAATCACGGCTGTGGGGCTGTAGATGAGACTGTCAGTAAATAGTACCTTAAGCAGGTAGGCATCATATACAGCGGAATGCGGACACATCATTGGCTCCATTTTCGTAGACAGAGAGATTGCTTAGCAGCAATGACTGTCAAATCTCCCTGCCCGGTGGTTGGGGAAATCTGACTTGTTTTGGATCTACTGCCTTGTGGGTGGTGAATGGAGAAATGGGAATCATTGAGATTTCAGGCGTTTAAACATAGCCAGGTAACCCAATCAATACCTCACTTCTAGAATGCTTCTCACATTATCCCAACCACACCTCGTTATTATTACCACACTTGATACAAGTCAATAGAAACATCCTACCTGGCTCATTCCATCAGTTCTTATTTGGAATTCTATTACACCATTTCTCATTCCACTGGGCCCCTTGCCTACGCAATCGAGTTCAATCGGATTATAGAACCAAATGACACATGCGCAACTACATGGGAAAACGGATAATATTGGTATATAATGAATTAAGTAGAGGAAGCAGAAGTATACCGGTAAACAGCTGATAGCCTACCCGCCATACTGTAGCACAGTAGTGATGGCCTTCGGATTAAAAGAGAGAATGTAATACATGTAAGATCATCAATTTCAAGGCGTCCTAAGTGGTCTTTATGTATTGCGACAAAGGTTGCCTGGGCATAGCAAGGTCGTTTCGTGTGCCCTATTCCCCCAGCTCGATTGTAAAAAAGGGAGCACAGTCACCAAATGATCAACTGAAGGTCCTGGGGTGACATCCAGTGGAAAGGGCATAGGCATGAAAAGATATTTGAGTTCATGATGGGCTTGGCTTTGGAGCCCGAAGGATACTATCACCTGACAATCCGGGGGGAGTGCGATGTTACGTATGTCTAGGCACGATATATCGGCCACGTGGCAAGGTTCCTAAGAGGTTGCCTAATTTATATGTGCTTATATCATCTCAAGTGTGGACATAGATCTTAGGAACATCGAGAAGAAGTTGCAAAATTTCTAATTATTTCCTCTTTTGGTAAAAGTAAAAAAAATAGAAATTATTTTGACCCGAGACAGTCCAAGCGGAGCAACGGACATCGGACATCGGATATGAAACTGGCCGAATAAAAATATAAAATAGCTTATGTGATCCGTATAAAGGGCATCGGGGTCCAGATGGGGCCTCTACTTTAAAAATTCGGTCGAAATAGTTCCCACGGATTATGACCAAGTATGACTCAGTCATCCATGTCCGTGTTTTGCATGATTCTTTCGTGTTAACCCTGTAGATAAACGGACTCCGTGCGTTAGGCAGAGTGCCGCATGCGCCAAATCTACCCGGACCTGCGTCAAACGGCCATGAAAGGGCAAGGAATGCGCTAGAGGAATGTAGTGTCCTATAGAAAGTGAAACATTAGTGCATTTACTATATCTGTACTAGTTCGAAGTAAGATCCAGATAATGCATAAGATGTCGGAGTTGGGAGTACCCGACACGAAAAAAACCCCCCCCCCCCGCTCAAGTAGAAGATCGAAGTACAACCCCCTTTGTTCTGTCCTTTGTAAACATCTTTAATTTCTAATTTTCTCCTTATCCCTTCTTAATATTTGTTATCCCTACACTCCTTCATTCATTCTCTTCAGATCTCTTTTCAGAGTAATCCTCATTTTTATTCATGGAGTAAAGATCCAAACCAATTTCAACATGCAGCAGCCCGAGGAGGGTGTGACGGCCGTTGAAAAAGTGGTGGAGGACCCTCAGCTTAACGAGAAGCCCACCGACAAGCGTGATTCCGACTCCGCATCCACGTCAACAAAACACGAAACCAAGACTCCAGTCGTCGAAGACGATGATGCGCTCTATGCTCACTTGCCCGAGCATGAAAAGGACATCCTGAAACGACAACTGGATGCGCCTCTGGTCAATATCTCCTACTTCGGTCTCTTCCGCTATGCCTCCCACATAGACATACTCATCCTGGTCGTCAGCGCACTCTGCGCCATCGCCGCCGGTGCTGCTTTGCCCCTCTTCACTATTCTCTTTGGTTCCTTGGCTACGGTTTTCCAAAAGGTGATGCTTCGCACCATCTCCTACGATGATTTCTACCACCAGTTAGTCAAGAATGTCTTGTACTTTATCTACCTCGGCATCGGAGAGTTCGTCACCATCTACGTCAGCACCGTTGGCTTCATTTACGCAGGAGAGCATGTGACCCAGAAGATTCGGGAGCACTACCTCGAAGCTATCCTGCGCCAGAATATCGCCTACTTCGACAAGCTTGGTGCAGGTGAAGTCACTACCCGTATCACAGCCGACACCAACCTCATTCAAGATGGTGTCTCCGAAAAGGTCGGTTTGACCTTGACTGCCGTCGCCACCTTCGTGACTGCCTTCATCATTGCATACATCAAGTATGCCCCCTTGGCTGGTATCTGTACTTCAACTATGGTCGCGCTGGTCTTGATCATGGGTGGAGGCTCCAAACTGATCATCAAGTACGGCAAGCTTTCCCTGGAAAGCGCCGGTGCCGGTGGAACTGTGGCCGAGGAAGTCATCAGCTCGATCCGCAATGCGACCGCATTCGGTACTCAGGACAAGCTTGCGAAGCAGTACGAGTCTCACTTGCGTCACGCAGAGCGCTGGGGTATGCGCCTGCAGATGAGTCTCGCCGTGATGGTCGGTGTCATGTTTGGACTTATGTTCATGAATTACGGCCTCGGGTTCTGGATGGGCTCCCAATTCCTGGTGGATGGTAAGGTGGATGTCGGACATGTTTTGACCATCTTGATGGCTATTCTTATTGGATCTTTCTCCCTGGGCAATGTCAGCCCCAATGCCTCGGCATTCACCAATTCGGTGGCTGCCGCCACCAAGATCTTTGCGACCATCGACCGTGTATCCCCACTAGACCCTACTTCCGATGAAGGCATCATCCTTGACCACGTCGAGGGTCACATCGAGTTCCGCAATGTGAAGCACATCTATCCCTCCCGTCCCGAAGTTACAATCATGCAGGACGTTTCCCTCAACATGCCTGCTGGTAAGACTACCGCATTGGTCGGCCCTTCGGGCTCTGGCAAGAGTACGGTTGTCGGTCTCGTCGAGCGGTTCTATCTTCCAGTTGGTGGTCAAGTGTTCTTGGACGGCCATGACATCCAGACCCTCAACCTGCGATGGCTACGCCAGCAGATCTCGCTGGTCAGCCAGGAACCTGTTCTGTTTGGCACAACCATCTACCAGAACATTCGCCACGGTCTGATTGGAACACGCTTCGAGCATGAGTCCGAGGAAAAGATGAAGGAGCTCATTGAGAATGCTGCCAAGATGGCCAACGCTCACGACTTTATTATTGCTCTCCCCGAAGGTTATGAAACCAACGTCGGTCAGCGTGGATTCTTGCTGTCTGGAGGCCAGAAGCAACGTATCGCCATCGCTCGTGCCATGGTCAGCGACCCCAAGATTTTGCTTCTGGATGAAGCCACTTCCGCCCTGGATACCAAGTCCGAGGGTGTCGTCCAGGCAGCGCTTGATCGCGCTGCGGAGGGCCGCACCACCATTGTCATTGCCCATCGTCTCTCCACTATCAAGTCTGCTCATAACATTGTTGTCTTCGTCAACGGATCCATTGTTGAGCAGGGTTCTCACGACCAACTGACTGACCATGACGGCCCTTACTACAAGCTCGTCGAGGCACAGCGCATCAATGAGGAGAAGGACACAGAGGCTTTGGACGTGGATGAGGATGAGGATAGCATCGAGCACATGACCAAGTCTCACATCGCACGTGTCAAGTCAATTGCTAGTGGCTCAACCGGCTTCAAGGATGAGGCTGAAACATTCCAGGGAGCCATGCAGCGCCAGGAGTCTCGCAAGTCCGTGTCCAGCGTTATTCTCGCGCAGAGGATTGCCGAAGGCGGCAACAAGTACTCACTTTGGACTCTGATCAAGTTTATCGCCTCATTCAACAAGGAAGAGCGGTTGTTCATGGTCGTCGGTCTTTGCTTCTCGGTTCTTGCCGGCTGTGGTCAACCCACTCAAGCTTTCTTGTATGCCAAAGCCATCAGCTCACTTTCCTTGCCCAAAGACCAGTATGCCAAGCTGAGATCGGATGCCAACTTCTGGTCCCTGATGTTCTTTATTGTTGGTATCGTTCAAATCATCACTTTCTCCGTCCACGGTATCGCCTTCGCGTTTAGCTCCGAGAGATTGATCTGCAAGGCCCGCAGCAAGGCTTTCCGGGTCATGCTCCGACAGGATATCAACTTCTTTGACCGTGAGGAGAATAGCACCGGCGCTTTGACTTCTTTCCTCTCGACCGAAACTAAGCACTTGTCCGGTATCAGTGGTCAAGTTCTTGGAACAATTCTCATGACATCGACAACTCTTATCGCTGCAATTGTGATCGCGCTTGCTTTCGGATGGAAGCTTGCCCTCGTTTGCATTTCTGTCGTGCCGATTCTTCTCGGCTGTGGCTTTTACCGCTTCTACATGCTTGCCGAGTTCCAAGCACGTTCCAAGACAGCCTACGAAGGATCAGCCAGCTACGCCTGCGAGGCTACATCTGCCATTCGCACTGTGGCATCGCTTACCCGTGAGAACGATGTCTGGGCCTACTATCACGCTCAGCTCGATCGCCAGGGCCGCACAAGCTTGATCTCGGTAATCAAGTCGTCGTCCTTGTATGCAGCTTCCCAGGCCTTGGTCTTCTTTTGTGTCGCCCTCGGTTTCTGGTATGGTGGAACCCTGCTCGGCCACCACGAATACGACACCTTCCGCTTCTTCGTCTGCTTCAGTGAAATCCTGTTCGGTGCTCAATCCGCTGGCACGGTGTTCTCCTTCTCCCCGGATATGGGCAAGGCCAAGAACGCCGCCGCCGAGTTCCTTAAACTGTTCGAGCGTCGGCCCACTATTGACATATGGTCCGAAGAGGGCGAGAATTTGACCCACTGCGAGGGAACCATTGAGTTCAAGGATGTGCACTTCCGCTATCCTACCCGCCCCGAGCAGCCCGTGCTCCGCGGTCTAAACCTCACCGTCCAGCCTGGTCAGTACATTGCCCTTGTCGGACCCAGCGGATGCGGCAAGAGTACCACCATTGCCCTTCTCGAGCGTTTCTACGATGCCCTTTCTGGTGGTGTCTACGTGGATGACAAGAACATCGCCGACCTCAATGTCAATTCCTACCGCAGCCACCTCGCGCTGGTCAGCCAGGAGCCCACTCTCTACCAGGGTACCATCAAGGAGAACATCCTGCTCGGTAGCCCCAATAAGGACCCCACCGAGGAGGAGCTGGTCCAGGTCTGCAAGGACGCCAACATCTACGACTTCATCATGTCTCTCCCCGATGGCTTCAGCACCGTCGTCGGTAGCAAGGGAGGCATGTTGTCCGGTGGCCAAAAGCAGCGTGTCGCCATTGCCCGTGCTCTCCTTCGCAACCCCAAGATCTTGCTCCTGGATGAAGCCACCTCGGCCCTCGACTCCGAGTCTGAGAAGGTTGTCCAGGCTGCTCTGGATGCTGCTGCCCGCGGTCGTACCACCATTGCTGTTGCTCATCGTCTCAGTACCATTCAAAAGGCCGATATCATCTATGTCTTCGACCAAGGCAAGATTGTCGAGAGCGGTACCCACACTGAGCTCTTGCGCAACAAGGGTCGCTACTTTGAGCTGGTCAACCTCCAGTCCCTTGGCAGGACTGCCTAGTTGTCTTAATTTGCCTTTTTCTTACATCTTTTTTAAATGTACCATACCCTCTTCTTTCTTCATATCCCTCACCATTTCTCCATACCTCACCACCAATCTCCTTTCTTATACCTCCTCAATCTTCCCTCTTCATATGATAGATTATTTGTTGTCAGCGGCGAAGTCTCGGAAACCCGGGGTACATTGTCTCCCCGTGAAAAAGAGAAAAGCATAAAAAAACATCCCTTGGGGTTGTAGGAATGGATGAATGAATACAATGGCTGTCAATTCAACGCCGTCCGATTTCGCTCCAAACTCCGTCCACTCCGTCAAACCCCTTAGATAATTTCAAGCCATTTCAATTAGTGAAGAAGCCCGTGCAGTGTAGCCCTTCAATCCTCCTCCGAAACCCCAAACTCCCTCTCCACCTCAACCTGTCTCACGCCCCGCGCTTCAGCAAGAAGTCCCATCAATCCCTGTCCAACATCTTTGATATCATTGTACTCATGCAAAAGCTGGGTATAGCGTTTGCACGTGTCATCAGGATTGCCACTAAATAACGCAGTTGTTAGAGATGTAAAATGCAATGTTCCCATGTTCTTTAGGGCTGTATCCGTATATCCTGCTTGTATTTAGAGGAACTAGAGAGTATTTACATGAGCTGGACATTCACTGCAGTTAAATCAGTTTCGAGTCGTGTGTGCTTGGCTTCTAGACTTGCAATCGAAGCGCGAAGAGCGGCCTGCGGCGTGTTAGTGCTACATGGGTGCAAGGTGGGGGAGACTGGAGACGTACTATTCGTTGCTGGTCTCTGTAGGACTTGGGCTCTTTGGTTGAATCCATGTTGTTTGGAATTAGGTGCATATGCATTTGTGTAATACGTGAGAGGCAAGATTGGAGAGTATTGAAGTTCTGATCTACGATTGTACCCCAGAATTATATACCTAATCCTGACCAATCACAGCAACGGCTGAATAATCCAGCTCAAGACTTTCTGCGTGCGGGCCGCTGATTTTGGTGTGACTGGGTTTCATTGTTAGCAGTAGTTAAATGTGTTGTTAATACATGCAGTTAATGAAATAACTATCTACATATGTATTTGACTCAACCTTGAAGATAAAAAAAAAAAAACATTGTCCTGACTCCACCGGTCCCACATAATCGGATCCTCCGGATTGGGTTTACCTGTTATCCGCATCTGTTCTCTTCTCCCTTTCAACTCCCCACCAACACCATGGCATTTCTACGTCAGTCCTTATGGACTTTATTGGTATTGGCTGCCACGGCTCTAGCCCATGGCGGCCATGATAATGTTCCTCAGGGTGAACCTATCTCCCAAGATCCTATCGTACGTGGTACTACGCCAATCCATCTGGCAAAACGTTAACGATTCCAGGACTCAACACTATGGACTCATATGATTCTCATGGGTTTGGCATTTGGCTTAATCTTCCCAACCGGAATGGTTCTCGGAGTATGTGTCCCTTGACTTATCTCTTTCTTCTCCATCACATCTAACAAAAGAAAATAGATAATACGCTCCCGCTGGCACGTCCCCGTTCAAATCGTCGGCACTGTAGTCGCCGTGTTAGCCTACTTTCTCGGCCACGCCCACAAAGGCCGCCAGTTCGATAAGAACCTACACGCCTCCGTCGCAAACTGGCTCATGCTATTGCTCGTCGCGCAGGTCGTCCTCGGAGTCTATCTCAAGCTGCACCTGGAAAAGGCGGGCCAGGCTCGTATTCGATGGATCTTCGTTCTGGCACACGGTATCATCGGCAAAGTCATGCCCGTCCTCAGCTGGGCGCAGATGCTATTCGGCGGTATTGCCGCGCTTGGCTTCTGTCGCGGTGATCATCTCGGTCAGTGTCTAGCCCATTTCATTATGGGCTCCGCTTTCATCGGGTATGGTATTTGCTTGACTATCCTCTTGATTGTCGGGCAGTATTGGTTGCGTCGTACAGGACGCAGTCAGGAGTTCTTCGATTCCCTCGTCATCGCTGCTTGGGGATGTGTTAATACTTTCACCGAACATCGATGGGGTACCCCTTGGGTTCACAATGACCTCCAGCATACCACTATGGGAATTGTCTGGTGGTGTGCTGGTCTGCTGGGTATGTGGCTCAGCCGGACTCGCAGCGGTCGCCCCAAGCGGAACATCATTCCCGCTTTGGTTATCTTGATGACTGGCTATGCCATGTCCGCTCACCCCCAGCAGTTGATGATCAGTACTATGGTCCACTCTCTCTTCGGGTATACCCTGATGGCGGCGGGTCTGACCCGCATCATTGAGATCTCGTTCGTGCTAAAGGATAAGCCTGCTCTTTCCGAGCCGAACAGCTTCCAATACCTGACTCCCTTTGTATGTCTCTCCGGTCAACGTGGTATAGGATAATACTGACTTATTTCTTTTGCAGTTACTCTATGCCTCCGGTTTCCTCTTCATGGGCGCCACCGAGGAACAGATGCTCATGCTACACAACGCAGGCGTCACCCACGTGGCCTACGTCTTGATCCTCTACAGCGTCGCTTTCATCGTCTTCCTCTGTAAGTTGATTCCCTATTCCGCTTTTTTCTTAAAACAACCACTCATTCTTCTCTTCTAGTCGTCAACATCCTCCTCCACATCTACGCTGTCCACGCCTGGCCCAACTCCGAGTCCACCAACCAGGACGGCCCCACGTACTCCTCTCTCAACGGGAACCCGAACGGTCGTGCGCGCTCAAACTCGCAACAGATCCAAGATGCCGAGGCATTCGAGCTCCATGGTTTGATTTCGGATGATGAGGATGGTCCTTCTATGGGACCCCGGAAGAACAGTGATGAGGAACTTGGAAAAGAGGCCCATCACTAAAGCCTTGCGATGATTTGTTGATTCCTTTTGGAAGTATATCGTGCATTTTGTGATATTGTGACGGCGTCTGGGTTGGGTTGGGTTCGGTTCGAATAGCATTGCAGGTTCTAAATCGGCCTTGAGTTCGAGTAGCTAATATTATACCGAACAAAATCATACATAGTTTCCAATCTCATGCAAGTATTAAGTATCAATGGTTGCTCGCGTTCTATCGTACATAATGAGACCCAGATCTAAGTCTAGAGTTAATTGAAAAAAAAGGAGATTCGTAATGATCTTAAAAGAGCTCATCTCAGTCCATTGCCCTACCACCCTACCATCTGTCCACCTTCATTTATTTCAATTGTCCAGCCACAGGAACCGTAACCGGGTTCCTAACCGGCGGCACAGCAGCCATCTTCACACCATCATCAGGGAAAAAAGGATGAAGCGAATAAATCGGCCCAATACTCTTCTCCCCATCAAACAGCAACATGTTCTGCAGCGGCTGCTCTCTTGCCGAGAGCACATTAATGACATCCTGTGCCAGCGCACCGCCCAAAAACGCCGCAACGGGACTCAGCTCGCTGCCCAGGTTCTGCAGGAATGTCCGCAAGAACACAGAGTCCAGTGTGAGTGGCTCTAGCTTCAGTTCCTGGTGTCGGTCGCGCGAGAGCTTCGTGAATAGTTCCAGGTCTTCATGAGTGAAGGTCGGGCGGTGGCCGAGTAGTTTTTCGAATTCCCACAGTGCGCGCAGACAGCTAAGCAGTGGGGTTACTTGCTTGCGACGCCGGGGGAGTCGTGTGTATTCTTCTGGCAGTGGGGAGGTGTTTGCGAGGATTAGTGGCGAGTACACCTCGCGCTTGGTGACCAGCTCGATCACCTTGTTTGGTTCTTTCTTGTTAGCATCGTTTTGTTCTTTTTTGGTGGTTATGTCGATGATGCTGCGGGTGGGTGTTTCTTGGGTTACGGAGGCCATGTTGGATTTGTTGCGCTCGATGACGAAATCGTGGCTGATGAGGTCGGCGAAAGCGTAGCCGTAGAAGCCGTGTAGACCGGCGGCGTAGAAGGGTCTGTTGGCTAGTCGGCAGGCGGCGTTCACGGTGGTATTGGTAAGGAAGTCGAGCTCTGTGGCGATTGTGATATCGAATTGCGCGAAGAAATCGGGTTGTTTGGTTTTGACATCGGAAGTGTCGATATTGAGCTTGACTCGAGGGTTCATTTTGTGGATTTGCGGTCCTGCGACTTCCGCGCGCTGGAGCGGTTTGTTAGCGGGTAGCAATGGGTACACTTCTCTGGCTGTAGCTCACATTCTTTCCAACCACATTCTGTTCACTTTGTGCTTCAGCGATGAAGAATTGTGCGCCCAGATCCTCCTCTGTGACATCCTGGTGGTCGATTATGGTAAGTGAGCCGATGCCTGCCAGAACGAGATTCTTGGCCACTTCGTTCGCGAGAGCCTTCACAGTGATAAGGAGGATTTTTGCCGATCGGATTCTAAATGTTGTTAGAATATGTGATGTTTTGAGAGCTAGGTTGCTCACTTCTCTTGTGCATGCACGCCCCACAGCCGGATCTGTCGGTCGTACAGTGCAATTTCATCTGGCAGGGTTAGTGGATATTAGGTCAGATTCGAATGATTGGCCATACCAGCACTGATTGACTGTGCATTCTCTTGCTCTGCCATACTGTCGATCGAGGGTAAGATAAGAGTACAATCTTGCCTAGGTGCGAGCTTGGTGATTGAAGCCCCACCGTTGTGTTTGGGTGGAATTTGATGTTGAGTAAGAGGTAGCGACTTGGTGAGATATGCAATGAGAGTGGAAGTTGCAAAGTTGTAGGAATCTTCGAAAGTTGGAAGGTTGGAAGGTTGGAAGTTGCCGGTTTAGATGTCATGTGACCCGGGAGCTACAGTGTGGGGCCGTGGGGACAAAGAAGTATACAATTTGTGGAAGATATCTCATTGATTTGCAACATATTTACAGAATATGCCAGTTAGATAGGAGATATAAACAGATTTACAGAAAATACTCAATCTAGTATGTATGAATATCTGCAGCTTGAGTCCACGGATGTGGGTGATTTTATGTTATAGGTAACTACAGGCTATCGAAGCTATAGATCAAGTCAGCATGTAGAAACGTGTCTAATACACAACTTAACAGCAAATAATATAAAGATGTATGTTTGTATCTTAATTTTCTTAACAAATGATCTACAATACCGTAGAGCATTTCTACAGGACTTCACTTTCCTCATCGGGCAACATGTTTAGGTTGAAAAGTGCCACCATCTAGCAGAGATAAGACTTGGCATTGCATTGAAAATGAATATCGACAAGCATTCCAGAGGCCACTCTCGTGGCTCTAGTCCTTTATCATAGAGTCTAAGGTCAAAGAAAGTGACACAATTAGCCATTAACCCATGCCGGAGTTTACACGAGAGACCAAGTGCAGAAAGAGAGATCAATGAAAATATATGAAAATATGTGACTTCCATGCATACAATGAAGTTGCAACTCTCAACCTTTCAACCTTCCACTTTCACTCCACTCTCGATGATCTAATCCACCATCACGTGTTATCAACCTTGGGCAACTTACTTTGACACTCTCTCCAGGGCTCTTTTTACCTTAAATATCCTTGGGTATCGTCTTTTAATTTTTATTGTCTGTTGGGTGTGTTGACGGTATCACCGACCCCTATCCCCTAACCCGACATAGGTAACTCCACCTCTTAAGCGGTACCAAACCTATACGATGGTATGTCTCTCATTCCTATGCGTCTGACCAGTGTCTTACACCTTTTAGTCAGGGAATTACGATTATCCTCGTGCTTCTTCCTCTTCGTCCCGCCGGATATCCCGTACCAGGCCTGACGACCGCCCTGAGGTCCTCCGTCTCCAGCATCTCCGCAATTTCGTATCCGAACGAAATCGCTCCGGGGCCCACCACGCCTACAACGCCACCCTGGCCTTGGAAACATTAAATAGAGAAGTCGCTGAGCATTCTCTGGACCGAGTTCGCGATCGTCCCAACTTTGAGCAGGCCCGGGCCGACATTGATCGCCAGATCCAACAACTACAGGCCGAAACAGTTGGCCCCGCAGAGCGAATTCGGAACATTTGGCACGACCAGCTTCGCTCAGAACGGGCTCAAACTTCGCTCTCACCGGAATCACATTCTGCTCACCATCGCTTGCCCTGGCAAATTCTCAGACCACCGAGCCCGGACGGATCTTTATCCAGGTCATCGTCCCTCATGCCACCATCCGGCCAGTCGGGCCGCGATGGCCAAGGACGGATGAAGCGTCGGAAGCTGGACACCGATGATAATCGTGAGGAGTTTCGAGGTTTTAATTACGGTCAATATGGACAAGTAGTGCCGGGAATGCTACAAATGGAAATCGCCAGCTGCGACGGCGGAAGCTACGATCCAGATAGCGGGTGTTCGCGTCCCGAGAATGTTTTAGACGACAACACAAGTGTATACTCTACTAAAGAGGCCCGCTGCAACCTAGTCCTCTGTCATCGGGGCGAGGCCCCGTTCTGCTTGAAGAAGATCGTGATCCGAGCCCCTCAGTGCGGGTTCGATGCTCCGTATGTCCAGCAGGCGTGTCTGTATATTGAAATGATGGCTAATTATGGGCTAATCAAACCAGAATACAAGAAGGCATGGTCTTTGTCGCCATGACCTCTGATGAACTGCTTGCCCGCACCGCCCAATACCAAATTCAATACTCCAGCGGCCGATACCGCCGACGAGGCCGCCGCAGTGGCATGCAACCGTCCCAGGAATATCTCACTGGGTTCCGACCACCACTTCAAAACCTCGAACGCACAGTCCTCATGAGCCCACATTCGGCCGCGGTCCCGCGTGCCGCCGAAGACCCGCAAGCGCAGTTCCGCATCACCACCGAGTACGACGAAAATAACGAAGATTCGGGAGAGGACGAAGACTGGCGCTCTGCATTACTCGAAAGAAGGCTGGCCGAACAGACAGAAGAACCTTTGTCGGATACCGACGAGAGTCCAAGCGATGAAGAGGAGTCTTCCAGCAGACATCAGCGTCGGCCACGAGTTGAATATGAACGGTTGGATGCTCTCGGCCGCATCAGCGAGCAGAGACTACGCCGTGGCCCAAGCCTCGTGCATCCAAACCCCCCAGCCGAACCTGCTCAGCCAGCTGCCGAAGTTCTGAAACCGCATGCGCGCTTCTTTATCGAGCGAGAAAAGAGCATGGTTACCATCAAATTTGATCCGCCTCCGTATGTACCATTAGTATTGGATGTGGAGAACCGAATACTGACGATTCAAGATCCGGTCGGTTCATTCTCATTAAGCTGTGGAGCCCACGGGCCCATGGGAATATTGATATCGAAAGCATCATCGCACATGGGTATGCAGGTCCGCGGTTCTTCCCAAGTATCGCTGCTCGCTAGCAGTGGAAGCAAGGAGTTTTCAGGCGTATTTTTTTTTCGGATCAGAGGGATAGAAACTTTGTTTTAATCTAATCTAGTTATAGGTTTCGTCTATAGTTTCTCGGCCAGACTTTCTTACTGCATAGTGCTAAGACGACGTTATGAATAATTATGACATGACTTTCCGGATTATTCTCCATTTGTCTGAGTTCTACGCAATCCATATAGACTACTAGATCAAAAGGTACCTGTTAATGTCCTTTTATTAGAACCAGAAGGTATGGCCACTGACTAGACTCTGGTATCTCTAATAGCCTTTTTAAGATCACTCTCCGAGTATAAAGACGGTACAACGTTCGACTTCACTCGGAATGTGAGAGAGGCATATGGGAGATGCAGACATAGCCCTAATTATTTGAATGTTGATACCTACAATGCGTATGCTGCATGCTATCCCAGATACTATAGACCCTCCACAGTCCTCGATATTCGCTATCACCAAATCTAGGTGCTTACATACTTAGGTATGCACGTATCTTTCCAGCAATGACAACAGCCATGACCTATACTCCGTTGCCGACTACGTCCACCACAGTGGCGACCGCGCGAACCTATAGAGCCCCCTCAACACCACTGGCCTAGGCAGCATCGTTACATGCATATCACCCTATAAACTGCAACTTGCCATTTGGAGAGAGGCTCAGCAGTAATGCAGCAGAGACGAGGCTATGTCGCACGCCATGTGGCTCAATGAGCGTTGAGTCTCATCATGTCTCTCTTGGGTTAGATTCCTGTCGAATTGATCGACGCCAAGGTGGTTAGTGGGGTCCCGGTGTCCCATCGGCTGTGCGCATCAATAGCATGCAGCTTGGTCAAAGGCAAATTGCACCTGAATACTCAAAGGGTTATTCCGTCGGCAAATTTTCCCACCTGTCCAAAAAAACCAGACCCGTGGATAGCTTACATGATTTGCTCTGCGTGTTAGGATAAGTCAAACAGGCAACGGCATTCGGGGTATCCGCATTATTAGGGTGAAATCTGCCCACCATCGCCACAGCGTCACTAAGCTGCACTGTAGCGAAGATGTGCTGGCTGAATTTGAAGATCACAAAGTCCTTATATTCTCCTTGGCGCGGTTAGCTAGAGATATAAAAAATACGATGTAGAGAGAGTATGGACCAGGAAAAGCGAGCCTATGAGAATAGATTGTCAGAATCCCAAGGAACCCCGAATCGGCGTCATGCCTGATTCAACGGACGTTGGGGTTAAGGGAGCCAATCTGAAACATTAGCACTAATGCACGGCTCTAGAAATGGCCATCTCGGAAATAGTTACCACCGTATAGTCGGGAACCGTGTTGAACCGTTTACCTATTTGAACGCCTGACCAGCGCCTCAAACTCATTATAATGGGTTTACAATGTGCTAGCGTTGCAATGTTTAGACAAATACAGTTACCTGAGCTGCACTGGGCAGTCTCAAAGCATGGCTGGAGTTCCCTGTATGTATCGACTAGTGTGGGGGCTCCAGGGTTAGTTGAACGATTTCTCATCGAACTGCGCCATATCTTCAAATAGCTTAGGGCTGCCTGGTTTGGGGCTGGTTTGGGGCTGGTCTGGTGGGACAATACACACGAACGGACTGTGGTACTTTTGAAATAGCTCTAGCCCACGGGGATCCCGGGCAGTGGGCTAAGTAGCCCCGCTGTACATAGTAGATTGACAAGTAAACGATGAATTGGGCACTGGGTAGCAATGCCCCGGTGTGGGATATCGGAAGAGAAAACAGGGCATTTTCAAGGGGCCGCTATATCCAGTAACTTCCCGAGGCTCTCTTCCCCCTGACGATGACGCGGAGAAAGACCCAGCCGTTAACCCGTTTGAGGGCGGGTGGGCATTAGTGGAGGAGCTAAACGGCTCAGCGCGGGGCTCATTGCGCATATGCAATAGGCAGAATATGTAGACCGTGTTAGCTGCAGCACTAGAGTCAGAAAAGTCTATCCGAGAGCGAAAGGAAAAGGAAGAGAGTGGATGTAAGGGAGAGAGGGAGAGAGAGAGAGAGAGAGAGAGAGAGCTCCTCCCCAGTCAGGTGTTCCCTTCCCGCTTTATTAATCTTTCCTCACTTTCTACTTCTTCCCATCTTTTCTACTCTTTCTCTCTTCTCTAACCTGCTTTCATACCCCCTTCCCAGCAGACATCCCGCCCGATACCATGCGTATCACCGTCAACGTCATCCGCCCCGAGCAGGCGGACTCGGACATTATCAACCTAGAAGTGGGCAGCGACATGTCGATCAGTCTACTGAAATCCATTGTCGAAAGTGAAACTACCATCCCACCTCAAGCCCAACAGCTCGTCTACAACAACCAGCTCCTCCAGAACCCCGACCAAACACTAGACCAAGTCGGCATCACCGAGGGCGACATGCTCGGTGTGCACGTCACCCTCCGAGCTCCCCAATCCCAAGCCCCTCGCCCCGCCGCGCCCAGCTCCGTCGCACCCAGACAAAATACTCAACCCCGCCCCGGCATGCCAGACCCCGAAACTATTCGTCTACATATCCTGGGTGATCCCCGCGTGCGCGAGGCCGTCCGCAGGCAGAACCCGGAGCTGTCTGATGCGGCGGATAATGCTCAGCGCTTCCGTGAGGTTCTGCTTAGGCAGCAACAGGGTGAGGCGCAGCGGGAGGCACAGAAGGAAGCTCGTATTGCAATGCTCAATGCCGATCCTTTCAACCCCGATAACCAGAAGGAAATTGAGGAGATTATTCGCCAGAATGCTGTTACGGAAAATCTACACAATGCTATGGAGCATCATCCCGAGTGTACGTTTCTACATCGGACTTCTTTGCTAAGCCACTGGATCGAGGATGAACTGAAAAGCTAACCAACTCTGTTTTCGCTAGCCTTCGGTCGCGTGACAATGCTCTACATCCCCGTCGAAGTTAATGGCCACCGTCTAAACGCCTTCGTCGACTCCGGCGCCCAGGTGACCATCATGTCCCCCGAATGTGCAACATCGTGTAACATAATGCGCCTGGTAGACCGTCGCTACGGCGGCATCGCCAAGGGTGTCGGGACCGCCCCGATCCTGGGTCGGGTTCACTCCGCCCAGATCAAGATCGGCGAGATGTTCCTGCCCTGCTCCTTCACTGTCATGGAAGGCAAGCAGATCGACCTGCTTCTGGGGTTGGACATGCTCCGTCGTCACCAGGCCTGTATCGATCTCCAGCGTGGTGCCCTGATAATTCAGGGCCAGGCTGTGCCCTTCCTCGGTGAGGGCGATATCCCCAAGCACTTGACTGAAGAGTTCGAGGCCGAACCTACGGTTAAAGGCGCCGATGGTGCTGAAGTGGGTGCCCGCACTGGCGCAGTCACGCATAAAGCTGAGAACAACCCCAACGCCGATGCCACGGCCAAGAATAATGCGTCCGCCTCCGGGTCCGGGTCCGGCGCATCGGGGCCACAGCCAAGAATCAATATCCGGCCTGCGCCGGCACCGCCTGCCTCGCGGTGGCCGCAGGATTCGATTGCCAAGATCATAGAGATGGGATTCTCGCGTGAGGAAGCTCTCCAGGCTCTGGATATGGCACACGGAGACCTAGACAGGGCGCTCGGGTTCTTGTTTTGATCTACGGTCGGTGTCTGCATTTACATTCGGGGGCGTTTTGGTTGGGATGGGAAGTTGTATTAGCGAGATTTGATCAAAGCACGTAATGAGGTGTACGATGATAACGCTGGCATTATAATAGATTTTGTTTATTTTGTCTATCTGTAACTCGGTGTGTATGGGAGCAGAGAGAGTAGATGTTTACTCCCGCTTGCTTTTGGGCATTAGTTTGTCGCGTAGGCGGAATACCATGTCTAGAGCCATGAACCCGCCTTATCATGTGTTAGTAAATCACATGTCAGACAACCTTCCGTGCGTGTACATACCTAACGCCATATAGGGTGCATATAGCATGCTAAGTTGCTGCTTCTCGGCAACCGAGCGATCGGTCCAACTCCATACAACCACCAAAGATGTCAGCGTGGTGATAAAGGCCTGAATACCGAAAACGAGGAGGTGGACGGGGACGAGGGGATGATCTGGATGAATTGGAAATTAGTCATTTTTGGTGATGTCATTTCCCGGTTATCTCGGGGAGAATAAGGGTAATGTAAGTCAGATTTGAGCGCATTTGATATGAATATGTATTAGATGTAAGATTTGATGTAGGGGGGGGGGAAGGATAAACAGGATAGACGCGGATAAGGATACATGTACTCCGTATACATGTAAGTATACATAGTACCATGTACGAGCACGAGCTTAAAAAAAAAGAGTAAATACCTTTCAGCAAACCCCTAACCGCCCATATCGAGATTGGGAGGTGGTACAGCAGCTCCATCCAGATGAAGACGGTGAACCATGTTGGCGGATCTTCGAAGAATTTATCGCGGTAGGTTGTGATGTAGAAGTCGCGGAGTTGGTGGGAGAGGTCTGTTTGGAGGATGGTCGGTTGAAGGGGGACGGTGTCGATTACTATGTTGTTAGTGCAGGTATAAAAGATTATCGAGATGGAACGTACGGAGAATGATCGGGACATGGGTGATGAAAAATAGGAGATAGGCCAAGTCCCGTTTACGTGAGGGCATATTGTGCTGGGTCATATGCATAAGATCAGGGCGTGTAGGGGTGTACAATATACTCCGTTGGGGTGTACTCCGTCCTGGAAGTGTAGATGTGTTGATTTGTGTTTTAGGGGGTAGAGAGAATCAGGTGACCAAGGAACAATCTGGAAGTTATAGGAACTAAATAACATAGTTTATAATTGCTTTTTTTTCCTGTTATTAGTGTAATCTTAATATTTAGAGGTTAAAATAGTTACTCTTGACTATAGATTAAATCCATCATCTCACCGCTCAATTTCAAGGTGGCCTGACTTCGGAAGCTATAGATTACCTCGACTCCGTATGAAGTATCTAAAGGACCTTGGATGCCAAATCTTACAGGAATTACATTGGATAAGGTAGTCATGCAT